GGTCCTTTGTTGAGCACTTCTCGACGATTGACTGCAGCCTGTCGTAGAATTGATCTTTAGCATCTTCATTGTATTCGTTGGTAGGCGCGTAGCATTGGATGACGTTCATTTTAATGCCCTCTTTCTTTGTTTTGAAGGAGGTTTTGATGATCCTTGGTCCATGAGATTCCCATCCTATAAGTGCATTTTGTGCTTGTTTGGACAGCATCAATGCAACTCCTAGTGTATGTGGGGCATTTTCTTCTTCATGTCCGGAGTATAACAGAAGCTCCCCTGAAGCTAGTCGTTGTTGTCCAACTTGCATCCAATGTGTTTCACTGATCCCAAGCACTTCTAGGTTGTATCTCCTCATTTCTGCAGCAATTTGGAAAACTCTCCCAGTCTCCCACATTGTACGAGCATTCCATGTACCTAAATAAATGGGGTTAGCGACCCCATCCCGTAGAAAACTAACTCGCTAAAAAAACGCTAACCAGAAAAATTGTTCGCCTCAAATGCCATCACATTATCTACTTACCTACTGAGTCCTGATAGGCACTTGCTTGTGAATTAAGGCTATATCGAGACAATATGCACAGTATGTACATATGCCAATAAAAGACTGATCAACTGCAGTTCTAAACATCAATGGGAAGATTCAAACAAACAATACCAAGTGATTATTAACACTGTTTCTAGTTTATAACTATAAATACATTGATATATCTGAAGTGATTATTCAATTAATTTGGTTCGTATATCATGTAACTACATAGTGATAATGAAATTGTAGGCTATAGATTTTTTTTACGGAATATATGTTTATTAACTGTTTTCACAATGACCTTGGAAAATGTTTGTTTGTTTATATACTGTACAATTAATTGTTTAGTTTTCATTTTGATATTTATTATCTGTAAAACAAATGAACGAAAATTCAAATGACTTGATACAAAACAAGATTTATTATGTATAAAAAAATAGCTTGGTGAACTATAACTAAATACACTGAGTTTTATGTGTTTTGCTTATACTAATCATTAGTCAAATGGAAATAAACTGAGGATTAAAAAACATTTAGTGATCGATGGGATAACGTATAAATAAACACACTTTACGGGCTTATGAGATCAAAAAGATACGATCAACAAATTCAACTAAGCTATTGAGATATTAACTAGGTCCTTACAATAATCACTACCACAGTGTGAGACAAGGTTGATCGATCCACAATGTAAAGACATTTGAGCATCATGAAGGTGATCGGACTAACATGTATGTTGTGTCCTATGGTCCATCAAAATACCACGTGACAAATTGCCAATCAGAAAGCCGACTTATATGACCTTGTTCCTATGCTAAATCAGTATTGCGTTAACCAACACGAGCAGCCTAGAGTCAACTTTGAGTCCTTATATATATATGCGTTCTGATCCACTTGATAATTATCCATTAAGAATATATGTGAAAATAATAATAACAATTCCTAGAGCTTAACATTTACTTATTCTGCGAATATAGCAATATATCCATGACATTAGATCATAATGTAACCATGGCTGATACAACAACTAATCAGATTCATTTGCATTGGTCGCTGGAATTTTTCCATCGATTTTTAGGACTACAACTAACCAGTCTTCTTCGGCATATGTTCATCCTGTGAGGATTCCTCGATATTGTCATTAAGTAACAAGCTTATAATGATTGTACTCCTGGATATTGGCACAACCTCGTGGCTATCTGGAGTCAAAAACTAGGTGGCTAATGCAATAGTGTTTAAAGCTGACGGTAACGGTTTCGCGTCCCAAATTGAACATAATCTATGTGATGCACGTACATCCACCTGACGAGACGCTCGTTCCGGACCTCTTTATTAGCCATCATTCAATTTTACCTATTTATAAGTCAAAATGTCCTGTAGTCCTACAATCACTTATACTTTAAATGACAACTAAATAATTGTCTTCTGTATTAAATATTATGTGTATAAGTATGTCAATTTGCTAGGAAGCAGTAAATTTGAAGGTCCGTTGTCCTATCTTTTGTTTATGGATAGCCTGAATTCAATAAATCGGTTAATGTGAATAAGTACCGTTCAAAGAAACTCTAAAGCACACTAATTCTTGGGAAAATTGATTATGTTTCTAAACAAATAAACACTTTTTCGTTGTGTTGATGTTCATCCTTGTACAAATGTTGTTTTCTGTTTTGTGGTCTGTTTGCTTCGTATATAAACCCAATACGTTTGAAATAGATGATTCATATCGCAGAGGCTGAGGATAGTGTTGTGGACTCAACAGGCAGGGCTAGAGAGGAAGAAGGACCGATAAGGACTCTAGACTGCTGGTACGGGTTTTTTTGTCATTTGTCTGGTTAAGTCGCTGTTCTCTAATTGGCGGTATCATTACGTTATGTATTAATAGGGCACAAGTTATAGCATATGGAAACCAGGTCCATTGACTAGTCATAAACCAATTTTTTGGATCAACAGTTAATATGTTTCTCGCGATGTACATTTTGTATAAGAGTAACTAATTGTCTTGTCGACTAATGCCCTATCAAATCACATACCAGCGAGTTTATAAAACTTTATATGGTAAAGTTAGCTCACATTAATACCCAAGTCCGGTCAATTGACTAGTTAAAACTACTAATTAGTAATAGACCACATACACTAAATAACCGACAGGCATAGAAGGATTTTGATATCTTATCTTGCTGAATTGTTTATACTGAGAAATATTGAAAAACCTTGACCATCGATTTTGCATACTTTAAGACCACTGGTTGAAGGTTTCATCACAACTCTTATAATTATTGCTTCATAACGATAAAACATGACAACGTTGGACAAATTAGATAGGCAAGTCAAACATTTAATCTCGACGTACATATTGCGTAGTTTCAGGTCTCCTGTTTACTGGCACTCATCATCCAAGACATATGTGTTAATTTTCTTCGAAGTGTATATTACTATAGTGAACTATTTTAGCGCTTACATCGTTAAAATTATTAACAAACTTTGGTTAGTACCAGCGATCAAATAACACAACATAGGTAAGTTATCGTAGACCGATTACTGTGACCATAGGACTTCATCTCCTAACGTTGCTCTGCTGCATTGTGGATTAGACCTCTAGGTCAAAGGCTCATGGAGTGGCTCTATAAGAAAACTACCTGCTTTGGAAGCCCGGGCAGTATCCCATCCTCACACAAATTGAATGATCTGTGTGGCGCATATATTTGGTGCCCCCTTGTATCAATATTTGTGTTCAAATAAAACCCTCAATAATCTTTTCGTGGAATGTTCTCGGTTTCAAATTGCGTGGTCTAACATTGATAGGAGTACGATATTAAGTAATTTACTGATCGCTCTTGAGTGACGGACGAATTGGCAAATTTACATCATAAATTATGCATAGTAGTTTGGTAGTAAGACATGTCAAATCGAGTCAAGACTTAGAAAAATACTAAGACTGACCAATAATTAAGGACTGTGGCTGTTGGATGAAAGCTATTGAGAAGTTATGTTTACGGAAAGTCTAACGGTCAGTTGTGCAACAAATTCAGTCATCAGAAGTGCGGTTGAAATGCATTCAGCATCAACTATCAATGGGTCACGAAGCAGGAATTTGTTGGTGAAATCTGGACTTAACACATTAGATTTGGGACACTAAAATAACTTACTTGTGACGTTCAAGTAGTCGTGGAGACCTTATTTAACTTATCCTCCGCCGCTTAATTTCATTTACTATCTGGTTTCCTGCTGCGGTTGGTATTTCTCCCTTTACAAATTTATAACGTACTTTGACGATGTGACGACTTGGACAGGTGAAAATTTGTCAATTATAGCGTTATTTACAATTAACGTATCGCTTTGAGAACACGAGGAAGATTGTCTGGAATTGGTACTATTTCAGATTGTTTGAAAAATGTCAGCCCATATGAACGACTACCTATATTTGTTCAAATCGTGAACATATGGGACTTCTGGACTGTCTAGCTGCCGAAAATTTCCAGCAGTATATGAGTGACCTATTTATTTTAGCCCAAACGGTAATAAAGAAAAGGTCCCAATGGGAGTTTTTACGTTCAGATGCGATAACCTGAGCATCTTATAAGCTGGTCAAGTGACAATCGTTAACTACTTGGAAATAGCAATTTGAAAAATGACATGCTAAGAAGATTTAGATTCGTGTATAATAAACTAGTCCAATAATTTTGTTGAGATTTACTAAATAAATGGATGCCACTTACTATGGAAAAATAAAAATCAGCAGAAGCATGCTGAATCCCCACTAGACGATAGATCTTTGTAACATGTCAACAAATCATTTTGAATAATCGATCTTTCCTCTTCATATTCTACTGTTATTCGGTTAGAAATGACGTGTTTCTCAACCATAACATCATTTGAATTGATGAGTACTAATACACGTATCGAGATTTAGTAAATACTTTCATATTTGCACATTAAACCGTGCTTTTTTACTCATCATTTAAAGGTTAATGATACTAACTGGTTGATTAAACGTCAGTCAGTGGAGCAAGGTTAAAACATACGATTTACAGACTGAAAGTCGGTTATTTAAACCGAAGAACCTCAATTCTATGGTAGTTGATTGATAGACTAATCAACAATAATGGGAGATTCTACATTGCAATACAGAAATGATGATATTACATGTTAATAAATGATCTTGCGTAGTGACTGATTATAACCACTTGGGGCCCTTCTAGGGTTAATGCCAGTTTCTAGTCCGGGTAAAGGAAGGTTGGGCATGGGGTTACCAGTCCCATCCCACAAGAAAACGAACAGTCAGGAACGAAAATCGACAGCTACGTAGGTTTTTTTGCCATTCAACTACCTTTGATTCACTTGCTCAATGTGATGTAGTAATTATAAATATATTCTATCCTAATGAAGTTACGGCCAGATAATTTATATGGACATTAAATGTCCTTAAATGGATTTCATAGTAAGACCTAACTTCAGTTAGTGAACAGAGCAGAAGCGGTTCATTTGGTAACAATATATTTCACTGGGTATTATGTCAAAATGCTGTTACGTTTAATAAAACAACTTAAAACAGAATAAAACACAGTTAAGGTAACTACGGAATTGCGGCTATAATTACGGAGCAATCAGGAAATTATTGCTGATTTGTGCCCAGACTTATTAAGATGACTTTTTGGTTTCAATTATGAGCGGGCCAACGTTGTCTCCAGTTTCCTCGTTATGTTTGTTATGTGCGCCGTCACAATAAGGAAACTAGAAAAAAGTTAAATGTCATCAAATGTCATACTTTGGATGACTTCCAGCATCGGCAATACACCTTTTTATCTGTTATGGACTCAATATCTACAACGTCAACGCATTTAGTAATATGTTTCCGAATTTCATTATTGATAAGAATCTTCCGTTTTCCAAGGTGAAGCATTACAGTAGTAAACACAGCATAGCCGATAGCTCCACTGAATGAGCCAAAAACAGTGAGGGCTAGCACATCCTTTACTATAAACGTGATTAATATATTTTAGTAAGTTACATGATAAACGAAAAATGTCTCGAAAAGACTTTGGAATCGGCACAGAACGGAGCATATCTGGAGCAATATCACATACAATAGTATGCAAGATATTCATTTTGATCAAATATACTGACTAAGTGTTAGTGAGACACAAAGTAAAGCAATACGTACCAACACCCAAACCCGAAAATGAGTGTTTGAAGATGGCGCTGATAAGTGTTACAACAACTAATGCACCCATTGGTTAGTCCGCTATGAGTCCTGTTTGTTTCCCTTGCCTGCAGAGCATTAAAAATGACTCTTATTTTTAGTGATTATGCTATCCAAATAATCCTAAATTCACTCCTGTATATACTTCATTGTTCTTTATAAGGCATTCAATGTCATTACGAAGACCTAGTGTAAATTAAATTCATTAGGAAAGATAGATCAATTTCATATGCTTTATGAGACTTTAACATTTTACTTCAAATCAAAAACTCAGAAATCTAGACTTTTCCACCAATTATATTAGAGTTAGAGTCAGTTTGATGTATTTTATTACGAAACGTATCACGTTTAGACATAGTGAAAAACACTAAATAATGAACGTCATCTTTATCCGATTATATGCTTTCCAGTTCCCGATAAGAGACGTCTAGGCTGGAACGATGGAGATTTTTAGCTTAGCAAAATTGTTTTGATTTTGTTTTAGCTGGTTTGACATCGTCTTTGAAATTAACTGGACGTAGTGAGAAAACCATCAAGTTGGAAAAGTGAACAACTCCTTTACCTACTCATACAAGAACACAGATTAGCATGGAAGAGATTCGATTTATCACCACTGATGTTGCTCACCTCGTTGCAACGCTTTCCTTATAATAATGGATATCGAAAACTCAAAGTTACTTAATAGTTGTATTTCAGTCTGTCAGAAAAATTATTACTTGGAAATTGAATCTTTTGATCAATACAGATGTCTTCGTCCCAATTCTTGCTAGTATTGTTTTTTGGGAAACTTCCCAGCCGACACGCTTTAACGGCAACCGTAGCCGACGAACACAGCCGTCTGTTATATGTCACTGATGTGATAACGAAAGTTCGCTACCTCGTCGACTCTAATGCAGAAGTTAGCGTTCTTCGAGCAGATTTCAATGACCGACTTTAGGAACCGGTTAGTAAACAGAAACACTGATTTTTCTGTTTGTGCAACTTCTTAGGGTTGCATATTATCCCTAGTCATAGTAAGACACATGATCGATCCATACTGCCAACAAATACTCGTTAAGTACATCAAGATATACCATACGCAACCGAGATTGCCGTGCGTAACCAGCAATGTTACACATCACATCACGACTACGGGACCACCTGTATTCTCGAAAGTGCGCCGACTAGCTCCTGAAAAGCTATCCTAAAATCGCTATCATCACACCTTTCGGCGTCTACGAAATTTTGCGCATGCCTTTCGGCTTAAGAAATGATGCCCAAACCTTCCAGAGGTTCATAGATGATGTTTTTCGAGGTTTCAACTTTGTACATGCGTATGTTGATGACTGCTTGATTGCATGTCCGGTCAGAGAATCTCATCCACAGCACCTGGGCCTTCGAACAACTGCAAAAGCACGGCATTATTGTAAACATTCAGAAATGCCAAATCGGAACTGACTCCATAAATTTCCTCGTACCACTATTTATGACCAGGGCATCCGACCTCTAAGAAGAAAAGCGGCGGTCATTCTGGATTACCCAGAGCCGACCATAATGAAGCAATTAAGCGCAATAAACGGACTAGTAAACTTATATGGATGGTTCATACCGAAATGCGCGTCCCTTATGCAACATCTAACCGACCAACTTTGAGAAAATGCGAAATCCATCAATTTCGACGATATCGCAGGAAAAGCTTTCTTTTCGATTAAGGAGACTATCGCAAAAACAACCATGAGTGCACACCAGGGCACCAAAGCACGCATTAGTATCGCAGTAGACGCATCCGGCTCGGAAATCAGAGGAGTTTTAGAACAATGGGTTTATCACACTTGGCAACCTTTGGCATTTTCCTCGAGACGGTTGCTAGACACTGAATCGAGGTGTGGCACTTTGGGTAGGGAACTCCTAGCCATGTATTGCGCTGTGCAGAACTTTCAACACTCTATTAAAGACCAAGAATTCACTCTTTTCACTGATCGTAAACCTCTTACTTTCGCTTTAAGCTCGTCTTCAGACAAGTACCCACCTCGTGAGTCTCGACAACTGGACTACGTTTCTCAGTTTACTTTAGACATACAACACGTTTTTGGAGCAAAAACGTGGTTGTGTTGTCTCATATAACTTCCTTGAACATTTTCTAAGCAGTCGACCTTCTAAAACTTGCCCAGCTCAAAAACGAAGACACTGATTTTCAGCATGAGTTATCTTCGACAACCCTCAAACTGCGTGTCAATCAGATGTGGAAAGGTAAGGAAACCCTATTGTGCAACACATCTAAGGGTAGGCATCGTTGAATTGTGCCGAAACATTATCTACGCAACGCCTTCAGTACGTTGCGCAAAACTCCTCATGCAGATGTTCGTGTAAACATCAGGCTCGTAGAAGAACGGTTTTTATAGCCTGGTATGAATAAGGACGTGTGGGAGTGAGCACGCTCCAGTGTAAGCTGGATTTGGTAGGACATTTGCCAGATTCGAATGGATACTTTTATCTTTTACTTGGTATTCACAATTCAGTGAAAGCTGAGATTGGATACACTGCAGCTCAACTCGTATATGGAACGACCCTTCGACTTGCAGGAGAATTCGTGGATCCTTCGTCCTCTTCAATGAACATGGATCTAACCTCCTATACGAACAAGCTTGCAAACGCAGTGCGTTCAGTTAAACCTGTTTCCACTCTATCACAATCAACTGATGTTTTCGTTCAACCTGATTTACGATATAGTTCACACGTTTTCGTTCGTCGAGACTCACATTAACGACCTCTCGAATCGGAATACGAAGGACACTTGAAAGTTCTTCAACGCGAACCCAAGTACTATATAATCGATAAGAACGGAACCAACGATAGCATCAGCATCGATCGCCTCAAAGCAGCGTATTTAGAAGGAAATCCTATCCACGTCGATTTTCCTTCGGTACAATCGAACGACACGACTCCTACACTTATAATACCTCGACAGACAGCCAACACACACGATGACACTTCGGTAGTATCAGAAAATATACCTGAAACAACGTGTTCTGGAAGAAGAGTAAGATTTCCAGAACATTTGAACGATTTCACATAAGAGACTAGTTAGCATTTCGTTACATCTCGATTTTTCTTTGTATTATGTATAATATAAAAACCAATTTTAATATGCTTATATTTATATATTTATTCAAAAAAACAAAACAATTTTTCGCTAATAAGTGTATATTAAAAATGTTTTGAAAAAATCCTGTAAAAATCGTTCTTACGATATCGCATGTGCATGAGATTATTTTCCTTTTTTTCTCCCGCTTTTTTACGCGCGTTTGAGTGTAATTTGACATGAACTTTTTTCTTCTCCAGAACGGCTGGAAAAGATGAAAAAGAACGACGAAGTTTACGACGAACCAAGATTTTGATTGTGTCTTTATTACTATATTGTGCTACATGGTAAGGAAAGACGACCAGATGCTAATAAACACAGCATGCACTTACATTTTTTTCCTTTCCAGGACTGCTGGAAAAGACGATAAAAAGAACGACGAAGTTTACGAGGAACCGAAATTTTCATTGTACTTTTCCTTTTTCTTACTGTATTGTACTTCATGGTCCATTATAGTAAGGAAAGACGACCAGACGCTGCTAAACCTAGCAAGCTATCACAAGAGTGCTTACCAACGACAAACTCGTTGGGTATAAACTTCTGGCTGGCCACGTCATGGGGTCATTACTACCCCACTGGGGGGGAGTGATCTGTAGCGGCAAAAAATCCCCAAAATAAATGGCTCTGTAAGTTTTCGACATTGGATGCTGACCACATTGTTTTTAATGGACTTATCTAGCTGAAGGCGCTCGGTCATGCATCCGCACCAGATCACGTATTGGAACGCCGTGCTCAACATCTACTGCAATCGCTAGCCAGTTTAAACTGGTCGGTTCTTGATATATTGATAGCCTATCAAATATATCTTCGAATCTCCTCTCTTCTGACTTCTGATTTCACTGGGCGGGCACGATTCATTTATTGGTTTTACTGGCTCAAATGTTGCCAAAATACCAATGCCTGTGGTATTATTAACCTGTGGCATCTCGAAGCTTTTAATATAAAATAGCAAATGAATTATGTGCAATACTGTCAAATATTCATTCATGGGCTGAAAAAATCCAATGTTGCCCATGTTCAACTGTTACAATTGACTAACTCCATTTAGAACAGTCTTTAAATTAGCGCACAATAATTTGGCTCCTGACATCCCGTTTTTCTTCGCTTTAACCATGGAGAATTCATCAAAACACTCCGAAAGGGTTCACAATCCCAGCACTACTAACTTATCAAATAACTACGGACTTACTTGTAAAGTGATCGACTGATGGAACTCCTTACCTCAACTTGTGGTTGAGACTCAACCTATGTCGATTCTTTTAAAAGATTGTTAGATGAAGTGAAGCATTTCTACATAAGAAGCAACTTTACTGAGCTTTATATAAACAAAATAAACAGAACTCATGTAGGACTAATTTTTTAGTCGTATGACTCTTGGTCATATTTAGACTCAGAAAATTTGCACTTAACGTTTAACATCGGTGAAAGGACAGCAGAGGTTAACGCGGAACACTTGATCGATGTGGTATCTCTCATTTATACAAGTGTGATCACTCTATGCAACCTCTTATTCTCCATAATAAATAAATTTTTTCCCAGCCCGAATACATTCCCTAGAAATCTGAGTAGCAACCATAGACAGTCACGATAGAACTAGTCAGTACAGATAATCATGCAATTTTCACCTAAGTTCTGATAGATTAGCCCGTCACATCATGACAAATCTACAACTGTGAAATAGCTCTATTATTCTAGCAGTATTGCTAAGTTTACTAGCAATGACCTAGTCCATAATTCCACAAGGCCTTCCTTTCAAATGATAGAAGATTTGATAGTATATAAAGCTTCACTTATTTTTTGTAGTCGAAAGATGTAGAAGATTAATATTTACTTGGTGACATACTGCATAATGATCATTATTTTTACCTGTGTAATAAAGAGCATCTGATGAATGATGCGTGTTGTCAACACCT